CTGTACAGGATGTTGTGGGATGAGGTAAAGCTTGCTGTGATATTGATGTTAGTTAGTAGGACACATACAAGGAATCAAATAAAATTACTTAGCCTAGATTAATGTGGGTGCAACTTGATCAGGATTCTTACTTCTATTTTATTAAATGGTTGACATTTTCATTACTCTGAAATCCAATATGTAGTGTCCAGTACAGAAGTATTTTTACATGTGGAATTAATTATGTAATGTTGTCTAAAGACGTTGTCCAGCTTTACTGCCATGTTCAGCTCCTCATTTGCCTCGATAACCATCTGTGACACTTATATTTGGAACTTGCACGGAAGTGAACAATTACATTACTTTTGTCAAGTGTTTCAATGTTTAAAACAGCCAAGTGTTCTGTACAACATGGCCGTTCTTTCAGAAGACTCTTTTAAAACCAACTCAGCTGTTCATTCAGACCTTTTCAAAAATCTAAATCTTGGTCTTCTTTTTATCAACAAGCACACAGATTTGCCAAAAACACATTACATATGATATTAGAAGTAACTTTGTTGTCAGTTTTGTAGCTCTGTGTAACTGTGAAAGTTCTGTTCATTTATCTTATAATGACATAATATAGCAACAACTATGTCCATTACCTTAGGTAAACTTTGGCGAGGAAGCTCTGTTCTCTCCCCAAACAAAATCACACCAGCTGAGTAGTGATTCAGGATGTAGAAGGTGTCCATGACTCCCAATGCATGGGCAGCCACATGCAGAAGGCTTTCAATGATCTGCACAAGGAATATCAGCGTTTCCACATATTAAACATGCCTCCAAAAGTCTTCTCATAAAATCTCAACATTTGTTTGTATTAATCTTGAAAATRAAGATGTTTTACAAATGACTGAAAAAAAAAACACATACCTCCCCTGTTAACCACTGATGTGGACGAAGAGAGTGCACAAATAAGAATGATGAATCACAATGCTCCGACCTTTAATTTGTGACGGAACAACTGCTACTACAACTTCTGTGTCCTTCTTTTGCCACAGCAAGGTTAACTGGAAATCAGATATACAAAGAAACAAATCAAAACATTTGAAAGTAATACAATAAAAATGTATATTTTACAACATTTAAATAATAATTATGGCTGGTTAACAGCCAGCCATAATAAAGAAAAAAGCAATACCAGACTGTAATACATAGATGTCAGTTATGTTATCCCATGTTAACCACATTATGAAATTTTGAAATGCAGGTTATTATTAATTGTTTACTTCTAATTGAATTTCAGAAATGAATATTACAAAAAAATTATCAGATAATTTCATTTAAAAACTAATTCTTTATGTCGAAGTGAAATAGAGCCTCAAAGGTGAAAACTTACCTCCATCCATCCATCCATCCATTTTCTTCCGCCGGGTCGCGGGGGCAGCAGCTTCAGAAGGGAGGCCCAGACCTCCCTCTCCCCAGCCACTTCTTCCAGCTCCTCCAGGGGAACTCCAAGGCGTTCCCAG